AGCCTTACATGCCTGACTTCCGTCTTCACAATAGACGTCTTTCATCTAAAGACTGCAAAGAGCTACTTATAGAGAGACATAAAAAGAAAAAAAAAAGAAATCAGAGGCACAATAAGGGGCTTTCAAAAAAAGACCAGCGTGTCAGTGGTGCGTGAAAATGTACGGCAGCAGCTACAGCTGCATGTAGTCATTAACATGGCAAAATTAGATCAACTACAGTTTACATAGTTAGCCATACACTGGGTTAGTACTGTACAGTACGGTGCAACAAGTGTTGAATGAGCAGCAGAGGAGACGGTACGCAGTGTGTACACAAAGGCGGGGCAGTTCACCAACACTCCATTAGGGTTTGTGGTGGAGAACAGCCTTTGGTAGGCGGCGTGGCGGACTCTGATGTCCATATGTTAGCAAGGGAGGGACAGTAGAGCACTGATGAAGGCATTTTAATATATGCTGCTGATGAACAGCACGTTGTTGTTTACTGAATACACACCAGCCATGAAAGACAAGGCAAACCTCTCTGTTCAAGCCAACGTCAGCGCTTCTCTGCCAAGATGATGTCGTTAATTTAGTGTCTATTCCTGTGATTCCCAACCGCTGTGCCATGGCACACTATGCTGCTTAACTGCTCCCAAAACTATTATTTATTTATTGCATTTTTGTTCGTCAATGCGTGACAGGCAGGGGTGGCAGCAGAGGGCTATTAAAACTCTGGGAGTGTCTTTCTTCAATTCCTGCCGGTATATCAGCCTTGTCTTTATCTAAACAGACCAGGATTTTAGTCAATTATGGGTTCATTTAAACTAGAAGATTATTATATTCCGTTACATATACTTTTTGTGAGATTTTTGTTTGGTGGTGTGCCGTGTCGGGGCTCAAAAAAGGTTGGGAAACACCGGTCTATTTTACATGACTCCCACGCTGCTGGTGGGTGTGCTGTGAGAAGTAACCGGAGAACTTGGATAAAATCCACACACCTGTGAGAAGACGGCCACACAATAAGACCATCAGCTCGAGCTTGGACTTGAACAGCTGACCTACTTGCTGTATGGCAGAAGTACTAACAACCATTCCACTAATTACAGTTATATCACAAAAGCCATCATACATTTTAATAAGCCAGACTTTGTTAGATGCTAACATGATAATGGTATAACTTTTGTAAACTT